TGGAGACGAGTGGCGCGGGATCGCCTTTGTTGGAGGCAGAAGTTACAGGAGGCCAAGGCTCAATTTGGGCTGTAGCGCCATTGGAGAAAAAAAAAGCATCATCTCAATATCATCTGATTTTGCCACGTTTTTACTGTCAGCTTCTTCATTGGTATGCCGCACAAGATTGTAACAATATCGTGAATTTAGAAACTGTTTCCACTGTAGAGTTGCAAAATCAGACCAATATAGAACCATTACAATTAACAACAAATGATACTTTTACTAGACCGCAGACTCAGGAACTCGTGGATTTGGAAAATGTTTCTGCTGTACAAAAATTCAAGTTACAAAATCAGACCAATCTAGAACCATTAGAATTAACTGCAAATGATATTTTGATATCTCCTCATAATTATAACGCTACCAAACCAGTTTTAAATAATATTACTATGGAAAACCAGAATAACTTGAATATTCAGTGTAGTTCATCAACAGAACTGATGCCGAAAATAATATCGTTTCACTAGAAAAGTCTAGCCCCAAGGAAAATATAATAAATCAAAAAGTTCTTAATGATGTACCAAGTCCATTTAAGAAATCATTATTTTGGCCTGATCCGCCAAAGCCCACAACGAAATCTAAAGAAAAAGTTCATCCGGTTGCTACATCTCAAGCCTAGAAGGACTATTATAATAAAAAAAAAGGAAATAAAAAAAAGAAAGCCGAAGAAATTGCAGAACGAAAACGTAGCCGTCAAGAAAAATCGGTATTGAATAAAAAAAGGCAATTGAAGAAGCTAAAGAAACAAAATAAACAAAAAGTAAAAAAAACACTGAGGTCTCGGATTCCAATTCAACGCACCCATCTATAATTACCGGACAAATAGAGAAAGACCCGTATGTCATCGTAAGATATGATAACGATATATTTCCAGGGGTTGTGTTGAATAAAACCCATCGAGAATTCCATGTTAATGTATTAATAAAGAGTGGTTTAGGATGGAAGTGGCCGAGCACACCAGATGTACTCTGGTATCCAAAAGAAGATACTTTGAAAATCATTAATGAACCTAGTATGCTTAATAAACGAGGTGTATACTCTGTACCAATGATTAAAGACTTCATTCAAAATGTTTCAAAGTGATTACGTACTATTGTTTTATATTTTTTAACAAACTTTTTTAAATATATTTTTTTAACTAATTACTTAGACATTTAACAATATTATCGCAATTAATTCAATAAGCAAGTTCCTACGTAAGTGAACTTGCTTATTGATTAATGCGATAATATTGCATTTTCGTATGCTTAACTTCCTAGTGTCAATTACTGGGACATGCGATGTCAGTTACTGGGACATGCGATGTCTATTATAAGGACAGTTAAAAACTGCTGGTGTCGATTACTAGTACAAATGGTATTATTCTTATTATTTCATTTTTCGTTTTAAAGTATGAAATTTTCCGCCATTTTAGATCATACCAATTAAAAGTACAATAACAGAAGCTAATTACCTAGAAGCTATTAACGTGTCTATTACTGGGACATTTACCTTAATTAACCGGTCTTTACCTGTAGTATTTAAAATCGAATAGCGATTTTAAATTATTTAAATATTATTTATTATTATTTATTATTTAAGTAAAAAAATGATGTTTAATCTTTTGTATATTTTTGGTTTATTTGGAAGGATTTAGATAAATCCAGTTGATTATCTTTCGTAAGATCTTATTTTTCTTCAGTGTGTCTATACCATCTTAATGTTTGATTAAATTTTTATTATTCATATGTTCTTAGATTTATTAGTTCATTCATGGTCGTGCTCCGTCTTCTTCTGATATCTCTGATTCTTCTATTTTCTGACTATATTTTTTTCGAAGATATTTAGTTGTTTTTCTCGCTTAATATGGGGATGGTTCTCGATGGGGGACTGAAGTGTACAATAATATTGTCATATTGCTGTGTTCTAAATTTTCATCTTTGGAATAATTGATGGATTCGACCGTAACTTAATGGAAATTCATTTTATGTAAAAATAAAACACTGAAAACTTTGTTTTCAAACTTCCACAAAATTTATTTTAACTTATCACTACAGCTGTTTCGGCTGATTGTCTTTCTCAAGTGATCTATTTTTAGGATGCGTTTACATTTTATAGTCTCTAATGAAATAGATTGAGGAGGGCAGAACATTTTGTCTCAAGTTAGTCATTCAGAATTATATCTGTGTTTTTTAATTTGTTGGTTTCCATAGATTCTAACAAGCATAGCTTAAGGCCTTTATTTTGAATATGAAGAATTTTAAATTCGCCATTAAAAGAATGATTGTGATCTAGAAGGTGAAGTGTGTATGTAGAATCTGTTTTTCTATTATTGAAAGCACTTTTATGTTCTGCTATTCGTTTATTAAAGTTTCTACCGGTTTGACCGATGTAAGTTTTTGGGCAGTCGCCACATTTAAGTTTGTACACACCACTGTGTAAGTGTTTTTTATTTTGGCTCTTGTTATTTTTGATATATTTGCCTAGGTTGTTATTTGTTCGGAAAGCTGGTGTTATTCCTATCTTTTTTACGTGTTTAGCTGTTTTAGTTGATATTTTGCCTGTATATGTAATCGAGCAGAAGTTACTGGATTTTTTCTCTGGTGGTGGAAATACTAATTTCAAGGCTTTCTTTTGTAGTTTTTGATTTAACATTTTATTTAATATTTGTTTGTTGTATCCGTTGTTTACTGCTATTTGCTTGATGATATTTAATTCTGTCTCAAAGTTGTATTTTTTGTAATTGCTTTTGTAAACACTATGTTCTTTTCTATTGATTTATTTTTAATTAAAATGGCAGACAAAGGTAACACTACTATTGCTATAGATAAAATAGAATATAATAATAAAACAATAAAATTCTTAAATAATCAAAATATTGAAACGTTACACAAAGATCCGACAGAAAATATCAAAAACAAATCAAGCTAGCATTATAAAATTCAAAATCAATAGTAAAGCCAATAGAACAGAAATATCTCAATATCATGAAGCCACAGCCTCCTAAATTATACTCTTTCATTAAACTACACAAACCGGGTCACCCAATAAGATCTGTAGTTTCTTTTTATACAGCTCCGTCATATAAGCTTTAAAAAAAACTGTTAGACATTATTTTAGACCACACTAAATTTTCACCTAAATTTACCATAAAAAATACAATAGAACTAGTTAATAAAATACAACATATTCAATTACCTAACAACTACAGATTAATTTCATTTGACGTAAAAAATCTTTTTCTTAGTATCCCTCCTACAGAAACTTTTATTCTAGTAAAAAACCTTTTAGACCAAAATAGTACAAATCCAATATAATTACATCTGAAATTGTACATCTTCTTGACGTTTGCGTAAACCAGGACTACTTTGAATTTAATAATCAAATATATACAAATAACAGTGCAGGACTTATAATGGGCAATCCTCTAAGCCTATTGCTATCAGATATTTTTATAGATGATCTAGAGACAAAGATTTCAAAACATCCCGTATTTGAACAGTTTTTATATTGGTAAAGATACGTAGACGACGTACTGGTATGTTTCACAGGAACTAACAGGCAACTCGATCAATTTTTATCGTATATTAATTCACTTCATAGTCATATTGAATTTACAATAGAAACAGAACAAAATCAATCCATAAACTTTTTAGATTTAAAAATTATCAGACTTAAAAACAAACATGACTTCTCCATATTTCATAAACCTACCCATACTGACACTATTCATCATCCCATCCAACACAACATAAACTGGCAGCCTATCATAGTATGTCACAGAAATTCCGATGTCAAAATACAACTTTGAGACAGAATTAAATATCATCAAGCAAATAGCAGTAAACAACGGATACAACGAACAAACAATTAATAAAATGTTAAATCAAAAACTACAAAAAAAGCCCTGAAATTAGTATTTCCACCACCAGGAAAAACCCAGTACCTTCTGCTCAATTACATACATAGCAAAATTACAACAAAATAGCCAAACACATAAAACAGAAAGAATAACCCAGCTTTCCGAACAAATAACAACCTATGCAAATTATATCAAAAATAACAAGAGCCAAAATAAAAAAAACACTTACACAGTGGTGTGTACAAACTTAAATGTGGCGACTGCCCAAAAACTTACATCGGTCAAACTGGTAGAAACTTTAATAAACGAATAGCAGAACATAAAAGGGTTTTCAATAATAGAAAAACAGATTCTACATACGCACTTCACCTTCTAGATCACAATCATTATTTTAATGACGAATTTAAAATTCTTCACATTTAAGATAAAGGCCTTAAGCTATCCTTGTTAGAATCTATGGAAATCAACAAATTAAAAAACACAGATATAATTCTGAATGACCAACTTGAGACAAACAGTTCTCCCCTCCTCAATCTATTTCATTAGAGACTATAAAATGTAAATGCATGCTAAAAATAGATCACTTGAGAAAAGCAATCAGCCGAAACAGCTGTAGTGATAAGTTAAAATAAATGTTGTGGAAGTTTGAAAACAAATTTTTCAGTGTTTTATTGTTACATTTCATCTTTGGATTTTGACATATCTATCTTTATTTCTAATATCTGTAATATTCATTATTTTTATGTAAAAGCCATATTCCCCTACTACTTCTCAGCAGTATATAAAATTCAGAATAAAAGAAAAACAAAATGACTGAAGGAAACTAAGACAATGCGCTCTGTTTAAAATTTTGAAGAAATAATGCGAAATAAAAAAGTAGTGATATCAATCACATACAAATTAATAAAGTATTTGTAAGCAAACATGTTTCTTGTAATGTAGGTAATCCCAGTAACTATTTTAATGCCTTAAATTACATTCTTGTCAATTGATAAGTGCGAAACAATAACCATACCTATTTAAAAACAAAAGTGTTAAAGGGTGCTGCCAGTGCAAAATAAAAAAGATCACAACACCAAGTGATAGAAAGGGAAGCACCATGCACAAACCTACTTACGGTTCTTCAGTGTACATTAGAAACAATCCAGAATTATCAGTCTGTCCCTCTGAAAACGTTCAAAAAGTTCGTTTTATATTTACCCCACATAAGTTAAATCAAATATTTCATTTACCGAAACTTTGTGTACAAATACACTGACCGTTAAACTAGGTCTATATGTGGATTATCTATATTTATTATTTTAATTTATTTAGGAGGCACGGATATAAGAAATTGTTACTAGTAGTAACAGGAATATAAGAAAATGAAAACAAAAATATTTAGTAGAATACCAAACTAGAAGGCTCTAATAGACCAACAAACACAGGAATTGCAGATAAATATATGAAAGCAATAACACAGATGGTAGAACACACTACTGAAGTGGCACATATAGGGTCTATTGAATAAAAATAACTGTTACCTTAGAAGTAGTAACTTCTAAGGTAACACTTATTTTAGTAACACTCTAGATCTTAAGTATTATCCGATATAGCCACATCTCAAATGCTTCCAGTTTTCTGTACGTATATTCGTTCAAGGTCCACGATTCAACACCATAAAAAAGGACAGAGAAGACGTAGCATCGCAGCATTCTTACTTTAGTATCAAGTGAGAGGTTGCGACTCTTGAAGAAGGCCCTCTTCCGATTGCTCAGGAATTGGTTGACGTAGAGTTGACCTTCTGTTATTCTTTTCCTGCTAATTATCATAAGCTTTCTCTTCTTAACGTTTATATTGAGTCCTTCTAAGTTGTCCGCAAATAATATGGTGTCATCTGCATATCTGATGTTGTTTAGTCGGTAACCATTTAGTAGAATACCTTTTTCAGTTTCGTGCAAAGCTTCGATAAATATTCTTTCAGAGTACAGATTGAAGATTAAGTCTTAACCTGCTCAAAAATATTTATTTCAAACTGATAAAGAAATTTGCAATTAGGTAAAGAAATAATAAATAAGACTTACAATCAATTTAATTTAACTATCAGACGACCGGTTTCGCTTTCTACAATATGCAAAGCATCTTCAGGTCTCGATACAAAGTTAAATAAATGCTAAAATGATAAAAAACCCATATTAGGGTGTTGTCTAATAAAGATAAACAAATTAGATGTTGTAAATTACAATAATTATGCCAAGATTACATGTCTGTGGTTTTATTTCAAAATGAGTAAATTGAACAAAAAGGTGTAAAAAGTTTTAAAAGTTTAGACAGACAAGGTAAGACCCACAAATTGTTATAAAATAGTCTATTAGATTGTAATAAATTAATAAATGAGCAAATAAATAAACATTACTTACATGCCGATACTCTATTAATTGATGGATGGTAGAACATGGTTGAAACTACTATGTATTGTTGAATGGAGAACTCAATTCTGCTATTGTAGTTGTTTGACAGTAAACGGGTAGTCCCTCTTTGACGTAGTTCTGAGACCCCAAGGAACTCCCGTTTACTGTCAAACAACTAAAATAGCAAGTGAGTTCTCCATTCAACAATACATAGTAGTTTTCAACCATGTTCTACCATCCATCAATTAATAGAGTATCGGCATGTAAGTAATGTTTATTTATTTGCTCATTTATTAATTTATTACAATCTAATAGACTATTTTATAACAATTTGTGGGTCTTACCTTGTCTGTTCTAAACTTTTAAAACTTTTTACACCTTTTTGTTCAATTACTCATTTTGAAATAAAACCACAGACATGTAATATTGGCATAATTATTGTAATTTACAACATCTAATTTGTTTATCTTTATTAGACAACACCCTAATATGGGTTTTTATCATTTCAGCATTTATTTAACTTTGTATCGAGACCTGAAGATGCTTTGCATATTGTAGAAAGCGAAACCGGTCGTCTGATAGTTAAATTAAATTGATTGTGAGTAAGTCTTATTTATTATTTCTTTACCTATTTGAAATGGACTCACACAGCAACACATTCATGATTTGAAATTTGCAATTGTTTGAAATACAAGAAAATAATGATCAAAAAAGGATTATGCTAATTTTCAAGTGAATGAAGATTGAGTTACTGTTTATTTATAAGAACAGTATTTCTAAGAAATCTAACATATTATATAAGCTTGATTGCATAACTGTATCATTATTTGTTTCTTTAGTGTTGTTAGACTTTTAGAGGATGTACAAAAAGGTGCATAGAATTAGTAGTTTTATTTTGTGTTTCATCGAGCAAATTATTCTATTATCATCTAGTTAAGCGACACATTTGACGCATTAGCTAAATTAGAAATACTACAATATAGCTTTACCTGAAAATTTCTTTGTGTAATGGACTTGTAGTACCAGATATTGTATATCAGTTCCCTTGCCTACTTGGAATCCGACATCGTGTGGAAGAGTTAATGTTTTGGCGTCTCTCGCCCAGGCATATAGTACCTGTGAAATATAAAATTGATATAAGGTTGAATGCTCGAATAAATGCACTTTGTTCCAATAAAAGGCAGATATCGAGCATAGTTTTATTAATTAAATCTTGCCCAAGTACTTTCGCTTCCTAGAGCATCTTCAGGGCATTTCGTTAATTTTGGCCTATCCAACAATTATAGAATGTTATAAACATAAAATTGTACATCACACTACACTACACAAGGACAAACACTTTCCAACTTCTAGTTTGTAAACAAAAACAATAACTTCTCTCTTATAACATTGATATACATAAATTGTACATCCCGTAACAACTAAGTACATAAATAAAACAAAGAACATAAAACTTACGTGATTTCCATCTAAACAAGGGGTTGATTTCTTCAAGGGGCCATATGTTTCTGTAGCCGCCATTTCCCCACAGTCCCTAATAAAAAATATAGTCATTATACATTCATTAGCATTGAAATATAATACACATTGTTATACCATTGTTCATCGGTAGAACCCGGTGTAGTGCATCCAAATAGTAACATATGATGGGCAACGTTCATCGTGGCATTGGGCTCAAACCCCACTGAAACAATAAAAAAAAAACTTATCAACAATTACGTAAACAAATATTTTAATATTATATATAGTCTCATATAACTGTGAAGTTAGACGAGAATAAACTAAGAACATCGAAATCGAGCGAGACGAACCATTGGCGAGAATCATTACATTATTTTTGTCGTCATCCCTATGTCGGCCAATATGGTTCCTCAGAGAAACGGTCGTGTTTGTGACGAGAAAAGTGCCTAAAAGTTGCACAAGATGGTCTTTTATGTACAAAATGTGAAACGTTATCACATAGTGGCTGCCTGAAGCAATTAAAATGTATTAAATTATATATCGACGATGAAACAGTTATAGGATGTGAAGAAAGTGTTAGGTTAAGTGATCCAGCCAATCCAGCAAATGAAATCTTGGATAAAGAGGCTGGCGATGAGGATCCGAGGCTAACTGAAATCAGATGCTTAAAGAAAATTATTAATTAGAATGACATTATAATATCAAATCAACAAATAACGATAAATTTACTGAAAGAACAACTAGATTTATTTAAATATATGCATTAACCGACCAGTCGTCATCTACTCAACAAAATATGAATTTAATAAACCATTCCTCAACAGAAACCTCAATTTGGAACGACCGATACAGTCTAGCAGTAAAGAATATAAAAAAAATACACCCGCAAAAAATATTGCTGTTAATGAACGTCTAACTGTTGATAAAGAAAGGAGTTCCCCAACAAAAACTGTGTTTAAAAATGTTACCAATAAAAATAAACAAGTTGTTTCCTTAATCGAAAATAATAAACAATTATCAGCTGATATTTTAAGAATGCAAACGGAAGCAAAATGTTCAGATATTATTAATTTAGCAAACGATGGAAATTTGATAAATATTGAGAACACAAATTCGTTTACAAATAATAGTGGGCAAGAATGGAAAATGGTTAGACACAAAAAAAGAAATGGACATATTGTTATAGGTAATAACTCCGAAAGCAGAGTTGTCCCAAAATTTAGCCATCTCCATATTACTAGAGTAGACCAACATACAACGGCAGAAAATCTTAAGATGTTAAAAAAACACTTTCCAGGAGTAATATGTACGTCGTTAACGGCTAAGCATCCCAACATATATTCATCTTTTAAATTTTTAATTTTTGAACAAAATTTCGGTATAGCGATGGACCCAAAACTATGGCCAGTAGGCTCCTATGTAAGTAGGTTTTTTATGAAGTGCCCAATACATACGCAAATAAACTGAATTATGAAGAAATGACTTTTAAACAGGAAAAAGGAAGGGATGAGTACGATCTCCTACTGTCAAATATTCAGGTACTAAATCAATTTAAAATGGATTGTTTATATGCTGATTATAAGGAGTTTGATTTGAAATTTCTATGTATGACTGAGACGTGGTCAGCAATCCGATCACGATATATTTCTTTTGAGGTTGAAATTTATTAATCTAACTATGACATCAGTTCGAAATACTTCGGATAACACATGAAGGCTCTATAAATGCATTCAACAATCTCTTGAGTAAGAAACTGGCAGGATGTTTATCATGCAGCTGATGCTGATAGTAAATATAATGCCTTCATGATAAATTACAGTTCTATTTCAATATTATAAAAATCAAACATTACCAAAACCAAAAAAACATGGGTCACACAAGAAGTAAAATCTTCTTCAGATAGTCTGAAGGATTTGTTAATTTTGAGTAAGGCATACCCTGAGCTAAAAACTCCATATAGACAAAAAAATATCAGCACAAAGTTCTTGTTGAGACCACAAAGGGTCACTTTTATTTTAACAAAATCTCTGAATTCTCTAACAAAAACAAAACCACATGGGTTGTTATAAATGAACTTAATGGAAAACAAAAAATCACAAAACTATCTGTCTAAAAATAGATGATACTATAGTAAATGTAAATAAGTGAAAAAGTAAGATAGTCCCATAAAATTTGCCCCCGTAACAATATAAATTGGTGCGATTTACGAGTGTATAGTGACACAAGTTCATTGAATAGTTTGAAACATCGGTAAACTTATCAATATTTTGCAGGTCTATATATTTAGGTTGTTAGAAACAATCGGAATGAGAGAAATGTGATATTTTAGTTTATTCGTTCCACATTTTATAAGTATATAGGCGTAGTGTACTCTATTTCTTGGAAACATATTTATTAAATAGACTCTATTATTGACTTTAAAATAGTTTTGAGGTAAGTAAAGTAAGTTTGGAGGCAAGTTTATTCATTATATAGTATTAACCCATTAAGATGTCGCTCAATATACAAAGAGAAATTTGACAATTAATTTATTAAATTGGATTACAAACACATAAATTAAGACTAATTTACAACGAAAAGATTTTTTTTCTCATTTTCAAGGAAAACTGTACAATTTTTAATAAAGGAACATATTGTATTTTAAATGTAAATTAAATTTTAAGGTGAAAATTTTGGAAACATTCGGGGTGTAGATGAATTCTACACCTTTTACATAAATAAATAGTATTACTTATGCACATCTTTCTACATCCTTTGCCAATGATCGTCACTTAAAGCAGTGTGAATCAATAATATCATGTGCTAATAATTTTTTTTTAAATCTATGTTATTCAGTTTCAAAATCGTGACAGTTATTCTGTAATGCATAAATATTTGTAACATGATAGAATGCTTTCATTACTTTTATACAATGAGTAAAAAAACTTCCGTATATGACTTGCCTCCATGTTGCTTTTATTCTTTTAGCTTTCCAGGGCTAGCACGAAGGAGTATCTGTTGTTACAACTTGAGACAAATTTGGATTTACTATTTTTGCCTGGTTTTTTCTTGGACGTTTTATCTGTGGTCCAGAGGAATATCATACTCAGAATCGTCAGAATTCCCAATCACTTGTATTTCATATGTACCTGCAATATCCGATTTTATCGATTCTTCACAAATAATATTATCATCAATGTCTTCTACATCAGAAACTTTTTAATCTAATCTCGGCGGCAAATAAACCACATTGAGTGAGTCGGCATTTTCACAATCTGAGTCTTCTTCTAACAAAGCTATTAACTCTTTAGTAGTTAGTGCCATCTTCATTTCATATTTCGAGAATTTACTGAAATAAACAAATGCACTACTATATACACGCATTCACGTGATAATAGTTTAGATTACTTTATTTTAATATATATGAACTTAATAATATATTTTTATATTTATATAAACAAATACAATGAAAATTTCAGATTGTTTTGTCTAATGAAAAAAATAAGTATTTTAACAAGTTTTCTGTTTTTTGAAGTTCTGTATTAGGTACTCTCTAATAAGAATACAATTTTACTTTAATTTGTTAGACAAATATATGATACCTATATATCGGTAGATTTAATTTTTACGTAATTACTTATGTGTTTAAATAAATATTTAAAAATTTTTTTGAATGCCTCTGCAAAATTGATAAATGGAATATGATTTCGTTGAAAAGTTATCGTTAAGCGCTTCGTTAAGTGCGATGTTGCCGAGTAATCACCTTAAATTAAAAATTGTTTTAGTATATTATTACAGAGTCAGATATAATATCAAACAAATTTAATGATTAATTTACAGATGCACCAGGAGATATAATTGGTAAAATAATTAAATAATTATAAACCAAATTTTAATTTTATATTATTTTTAATATAAAATTAAAAACAAAGCATCCTGTGGTTTTGATGAAATATCAGGTATAGTAATTAAGAAAATTGCGTCTCAGATTTTGAAACCACTTGCTCACATTATAAATGCTTCTTTTAATACTGTTTTTCCCAGTATGCTAAAAAGTTCTATCACTTCACCGATATTACCAAGGTGATCCTGAATTAATTTCAAATTTTCGACCATTGTCTGTTCCATCTGTGGTATCTAAGATTATTGAATATGCAATGCTAAAACAACTTTTATCATTTTTAGATATCAACCAAATTATCACAAAGCATCAACATGGATTTCGAAATAAATTTTCTACTTCCACAGCCATTAAACAGTTTTATGAGGACGTTTTAATCTCAATTGAAAATTGTGAAAATCCAACTGCCCATTTTTTGTGACCTCAGTCGTGCTTTTGATTGTGTGCAACACGATGTACTCCTCGATAGATTATACAGATATGGTGTTAGGGGAGTTGCCATAGTTGGTTTGGTTCCTATCTTAAAGACCGGCACCAAATAGTTAGAATAAAAAATATCTTCAAGATTTCAATGTCTGTTTCCGATTGTTAATAATAATCGAGCAACCACAGAGCTCCATATTGGGCCCGATATTATTTTATTTTGTATATTAATGAACTACCATATGTAATGTCTGATGCATTTGTATCAGTTTATGCGGATGGATCAACAATGCTATATCGCGATAAAGATATAAATTTTTTAATTTTTTACAAGATAAAATAACAAACTCACTGAAGACCTTTTCTAATTGGTCCAGTAATCAGTCGTTCCTCTTCAATGTTCACAAACTAAACTTTTATTCATTTACATCCCGTGCAAATTCTACTAAACCTGATGTAAGTCTTTCTATCAATGGTGAGGGTTATTTTGAATTGTAGTGATGTGAAGTTTTTAGGAGTGACTTTTGACTCTCATTTATCTTTTAAGGCTCATTGTTGGAATGCATGTAAAAACTCAATGTAAATGTTATCAATTGAGAAATTTGGGTAGAATCATTAGTCTGCACCTTCGTTTGTTGTTGTTGTAAAGCTTGCCACAATTTAAGTCTTGGAACTATATCATACGCATTTTCTAGGTCGATGAGGGCTAGATGTACTTCGGTACCAACCACTATTCTTTGTTCTACTAATTGTTGGAGTATATAACAAGTTATCAGTGCCACGATCGACCAGGCGTAAATCCACTTTCGTCCTCGCTATTAGATATCCTAACATCATCTTGTATGTATTTTTCCATTTATTATCTTTCCAAACAATCTCCGAAAGTAGGTAGGACACTTAATACTCTGTAGCAGTTAGAGATCTTTTCGATTACCCTTTTTAAAGATGGACACTTGGTGAGCGGTTTTCCATTCAGATGGTACTTTAATTGTTGGCAGTCATTGATTGATTAGAAAAGTTATTCTTCTATTAGGAGTGGACCTCCTGCTTTAAGTAACTCTACAGCTATATTGCCAGGATCCTGGAGATCGCCCGTTTTTCATTTTAATTAACGCAGTACGGACCTCGTTGTTAGTAGTATTAATGTTACTATTTGTTTGTCTCTCCATTACTGTTATTCCTCTCCCATATATTCCAATCTGGACTCTTGGAGTAAATTTTTATAGTGATTTTCACACTTTTTTATAAGAATTAAGTTGCTAAGGAGTTATAAGTTGCTTTTCTTTAAATTAGTGATAATTCTCCATGCTTCCGTAGTCGGAGAACCACCAATTAAATTTTCAACTTGGACACATTTTTGTTTCCAGAAATTGTTTTTTGCTTCTTTTATTTGATTGCGTACTTCTCCGTTTTTTCTTTGATATGTTACTTTATTGCTAGATGTTTTATTTGTTAGCCATTTCTTATATATTTCTGTTTTTTTCTTGTATCATTTCTTTTGCGTTTTCTGTCATCCATGGTGGTTCGTGGTGTTTTTGATCGTTGTTCTCTGTTCCTAATATGTACTTCACAAGAATTTTTTTATTATCGTTTGTTAATATTAATTTAAATTTAAAGTTAAATTCTTACCTATATTAAAAACCTTGTCGTCCACTATTCGGACTGGAGTACATATGTACAATTCGGGCTGAAACAAAAAAAATAATTATTAACTCTAAAAACAAAAGCTCGTAGTAAATATCCCACATCCCTTAACCTTATCAAAAATATCTCCGAAACCACATAAAAGTAACCATAGAACCTATTACGACGCTTGAAGATCACAATGAGTGTTCTACCCGGATATATTTCTTGTCGCCTAATGGAAAACAAAAATATAGAAAGTTTTTAACGCAAGTAATAAAAAGTGAGCTAATGACACTGTCAAACTGACCAAATGGAATACCAAGAAAAAAAATGAATACTTAGTAAACTTCTTTCTCGAGCTCTACAACTATCTGTGGGTTTTGTCATGTTCAACAATAAAGGCACTCTATTGCTTTCTATCGCACGCTTAGACAATAAAAAGGGAGAACAATTATTTAATTTATTAATATTTTTTATTTTGAAAGCTATTTCCGAAGTGGAAGTCGAAACGTCAAAATATATTTTAAACAAAAATTGTGGCTTATTCCCAGTAAAGTGGTAAAATGTTTGAGAAGACAGTATAAAAATCCGTTATGGTAATTTTGGTGACAGGTGATCATTGGTTTTACTGAAAGTAAAGAAGTTTTCCTTCAAGAACTTTCCGTTAAATAGTGACCTTAGTTTCAGTTAAATGGGGCCTCAATATGTATATGTCTAAGACAGAGTATCTTAATAGGAGATAATGAGAAGATTCAGAGTTAGAAATTAGAAACACACAAAAAAAACCTGCAATGAATATACAGAAATATCTTAGTCTATAATTACACTGCGCTCCAAAATTAACGCATAAATTTTAAAATTCTTATTTGGGTTGTAATGAAAAAAATTTTGTTTGTTCTTTTCTGCTTTATGGTTGTTTTAGAACATCTTAAATAAAACTATTCTTTTTTTACAAAAAATGTATTGAAATTAACAATATAACATCCTAACATAAATCATAACATCTAAACGAACTGATCTAAACAAACTAACATCATAAATTAATGAAGAAAAAGTTTTTAAAGTTGAAGAAAATACTACTACCGTGTACTAGTATCGAGTATTGCCTCCTCTGGCATTTATTACTGCTTGACAACGATCTCTCATACTGAGAATAATCGTTCTGATTTCTTCTTGATCAATTTGATCCCAAATTTCAACCAACCGCAAAAACAGTTCATCTAATGTGTTTGGTGCATTAGGTAGTTGTCGTAGTCGTCTGCCTATGATGTCCCAAACATGTTCTATTGGGTTAAGGTCAGGACTTCTCGCAGGCCAATCCATGGCAGGAATTCCAACCTCCTGACGATACTGCTGCACAATTCTTGCCGTGTGTGGCCTGGCATTATCTTGCATAAGCATGAAATTATCCCCAATAAATGGTACAAATGGCACGACATGCTCTTCTAAAATGTCTGTTATATACCTCTGCGATGTAAGCCGACCGTGATTTATTTTAACTAATTCCGTACGAGCCTCTAAATTAATCCCACCCCATACCATTACCGAGCCGCCGCCATACTGTACAGTCCCTACGGTGTTACACTGTGCGTAGCGTTCCCCAGGCCTTCTATACACTCGGTTTCTCCTGTCATCAGAAAAAAGACAGTACCTGGATTCATCGGTGAACAATATTCTTCCCCAATCGTCATTATTCCAATCAACATGTTCACGAGCAAAATTCAATCTTTGCCTTCTATGGTCTCTGGTCAATAATGGGCCAATTGGTGCCCTTCCAGGGTGTAGGTCGTTTTCGGCAAGTCTTCTTCTAATTGTATTTTGGCTGATTCTAAAGTTATAACGATCCAAAAATTCATTTTGTAGAGAAGTACTGGAAACAAACCTTTGTCTCAGTGTACGAAGTGTCAAAAACCGGTCTTGATTAGGAGTTGTAACCCTTTTACGGCCTTGACCGGGTCTTCTCGAGTTACTTCCAGTAACAGAAAAACGTGTTAACACTCTTGAAATTGTTGACTGGGTGACGTTAAAACGTTCAGCGAGTTCTACTTGAGTGTATCCTTCTTCGCGAAGAGTAACGATTCTAAAACAGTCACTTTCTGACAAATTTCGATTTTCTTGCTGCGGGTGGTTCATTTCAAAGAAAAAACACTTAATAAACTTGAAAAACCCCTTTAAACGTTCAGCACAACGAAATCCAACCCAACTAAATTCGAAATAAAATGAAGCACAATTAGCATGTTTTTAATTTTTTGCAAAAAAATGATAAAAACATCAGCGTTTTTTACCGTTCTTTCGATAAATTTTACAATATACCGGGGGTAACGATAATATATTAGCACAAAAATCGAAACATTAAATTATTTAATTTACCAGGTTTTTAAAAATTATGCGTTAATTTTGGGGTGCAGTGTATCTAAAGAAGGCACTACCAAAAGAGGCATCGAAAACAGAACACAGCAGGGAAAAGTGGTAAGCATTCTAAACTCTCTCTATCGTCTAAAGATATTAGACAAGAACCGAAATTGACAATCTTATCGAACATTGGTAGAGCCTATTATGACTTATGGGGCAGAAGTTTGGCAGATCACGAAAAAAGATAGAAAAATAGAAGTAAATGGGAAAATTGTGATTAGTTAATATCTTGGTTTATTTGTCCCAGCCACTCATTGTTCAGATTTACTTTTAAGATAAGATGTTCTCACACCTAAGAGATTGAGTTAAACGACGCCTAGCAATTGGTTCCCAAAGAAAGTTGTGAATTTTATTGTTCTACATTGGCTCCCAACTTTCGGAGGCAGTTATAATGTTGACAATTGATACCCAACTTTTCTGATAGGTCGGTCAATGGTTACAAAAGCATTTGCGGCATACGTTTATATAGTAAATTGTCATTATTTTTCATGCAGAATTACTCCCCAAAATTAGTTGCACGTATTTACTAAAACTCTGTTCGTATATTTTGAAAAAGGACTAAAAATCATTTTTAGACATTTTGAACCTCTATAACGCAAAAAAAAATTATTTCTGAGTTTTGTTTCAATGGCACCCTTAATCAGCATGACCAAAGCTACCTCTCTGCAAATTTCAGCCAATTTGACTGAAACCGCTTTTACATAAGAAACTTAAATGAAATTAATTATGCAGGACCTAGAGAAAGCATGAGAAGGAAATTCAAAAACTTGGGTTTCGCTGAAAAAAAACAGTCGACAATAAAAAAATGTTGATAATGCAGGCCATTCACTTCCGATTGTGGTACGACTAGTGGTCCAACTTTTGCAGTTGGATCTGAAATCGGACCGTGAGTGGGCTAGTTGGATTAGTTGGACAACTAGTGGTACGACTCGGAACATCTAGTGGGACGACTTGAAGATCCGACTTCCGACTGGCGACGAAGTCGGAGCGTGAATGGTGAAGTTGGAAGTCGGATCACAGGTTGGATAGAAAATTTCCTCAGTCAGTTGACCTTCGGCACCTGTTACGTATTAGATTTCCATAAAATACTTTACGCAAAGATCTCTAGTTCGCGAATATTTAATAGAAAATAAACTTTCAATTGCACGAAAATTACCTTTTTGTTAGGGCAAATCATTTTCCTTTCTGTAGATCTATTTCGGACATTCCCATACAGGTAAATTTCGATACTCCGGATTGGCTACGGAAGAATTATCAACAAACAATGAAAATTAAATCATAGTTGTAGCAAAAGATCCCTAGTTCGCAAAAAAATAATAGAAAATAACTTTCAATTGCACGAAAATTATTCCTATTAAAAATATACGACACACACACACAACAAAATAAATCTCAACTCCAGTTTAAAACAAATAAAATATAGATTTTATACCTACACAAATCTTTAAAAACTATAATTTTTTCCTACATCTTAAAAAGTCATAAAAATCAAGGGTTGAAAAAATTAATTAGTTCAGCCTAGACAAATAACTAGAGAAACGAAACCTAATTTTTAAACATACATATCATAACATACATATAAGGATAACAAGCACAATGCTGCCATTTTCCTCCTCTAATTATATTTTGCGTAGTGTTTATTCGAAACATTTTTTGGTTAAGCGATGTACACCATCGTGAAAACAACCTAGAACTGAAGTTGGACCGCTAGTTGGATAGGAAGTCGGAGCGTGAGTGGAGACGAACATCCAACTAGTAGTCCTACTAAGTGGGACCACAAGTCGGAACGTGAATGGCCTGTCTAAGAAACATGAAATTATACATTTAAAACTGCAATACCGGAGGAACGTTAAGGAAGCTATAGAAGCAAATAAATTTATAGAGTTTCCTGACGAGACTTATTTTTATTAACTTAGATATCAGTAATAAATTAACTTTAGAAAACCCGTGTCAAAAGGGCAACGTTTAATTATTGCTGGGGCAGGAAATGAAAAAGGTTTTGTTTCTAGATCTTATTTGAGGTAGAAGTCGACGACAAAATCTGGAGACTATCATGATAACATGTACAATACAAATTTAAAAAAAATTATTGGAAAAACAACTTTTAAAAACTTGTCTCCAAATAGGGTAATATTGTTTGATTAATGCACCATACCTGTCATATATTTGACATTTTAGTAGTTCCATGACACGACACTTAGACGTCGACAGATGCCATGGGACGTCACTCACTTCATTACTTGCGGCGTTACGTTATGTAGGTTACCACACACATGTTTTTAATTAGTGAAATAAAAGGAACATAAAATACATACAAAAAATATTTACATAGTAAGCTCAGATAGACCACCATTAATGCATCTTGAATGGATACGCCAGTTAGATATAATGTGCGATAACATTTCAGGAGTATCTGAAGTTACAAATGAGTCCGCTAGATGCAAAACTTTGTATTTACTGTATAAGTCAAACTGAGTTATTTGCAAAAAAACTAATAAATTTTGCAAAAAACCTTAGACATAATAAATGGCACTTTTTTGTGATAGATAAATGCTTTATTAGGTATAATTAAATGATTTTTTTCTTAGAAAAGTTATTGGGTTTGCTAGAAAAGGAAGAAAATTTGAAAATACCGAGTTTTGCAAGTGA